TTGAACAGGAAGTAGTTTTTTTCTTTTTTGTTGTTGTTGTTGCCTTCATTTGGTTCCTGCATACTCAGGAGGGCTGAAGATAAGATAAGCTTATATTGCTTTATTGCACAGGCTTGCCTAGGGAATGTGTGTGTATGTGTGTAAAAGTGTGTTTGTTTCCTTAAATCATTTCCCTCCATTGACCAGAGCTGGGCGGAAGGGTTTGCCTCAGCCACACCTAGACCCCCCCTCAAATTTGGGGGGGGGGCGTTTAGAAAGCAAAAGGAGCTAACCTTGTACTCTCATACTTCAACAGGTTGTGAGTGTTGAACTTTGTGGTTTGTGGTTGCTTCTTATATATTTCCTGCTATTGACCAGGCTTAGGCATGATACTGATCCTAGCCGTCTATAGCCCCCTGCGAGGCTGTTTTGCCGTTAACCAGGGGTATCTACATTGCAAGGAGGATTTGTGGATCTCTTGTGGCCCAACAGGCTGTGCAAGTGGTGTGAGAGATTTAGACACATGGGCTCAGCCCAAGGAAGACCTGTTAGAATGAATAAAATGAAGGAATGTGCCTTTATCACCCTTGAGAGTGTTATCAGGAACTTTGATAAGCTTAAAACCCGTCGGGATATGAAAATTGAAACTCTAACTAAGTACAATGGCCTCTGGCAGCAGGATATGCCTATTGTTTGGCCCAAAGGGGGGTCCATAGATTGGGGGGGGTTGAAAATATGGGAGATTATGCTCAAAGAGGCATGGATAATGATCAACAAGCTTATTATGCACTTTTTTGGACTAAGGAATAAGCAGATGCTTAAAGACTGTGGGTTGTGGCAACTTCCCACAGCACCACCTTTTTCTGCTTTATCCTCTGCTCCGCCACCTTATAAGGGGATTTACCCCCTCACAGAGCAGGTAGCTATTGGAAGGGGGGACACTAATAAGGTCCTGGTTCATACCCCCTTCTCCACATCTGACCTTTATGCATGGAAGGACTGATTAGGTTCTTACACTGCAGCCCCACACAAATATTCTGAATTGGTTCTGTCTATTATTTGAACTCATAATCCTAATTGAGCAGACCTCCAAGCCATGCTGGATGTCTTTTTAATAGCAGAGGAAAGGCATCTGGTAGGAAATGCTGCAAAAAGATTAGCTGAAGAAAGGAAGGTCCTTTGTCCTGAAACTGACCCTAGATGGGTCATTACTTATGAAAGCAGAAACTATGAACACTTAAAAGGCTTTCAAAACATTCTTGTCACTGCATTGCAGACTGCTATTCCTAAACAGAAAAATTTGGGCAAGATTTATATTGTTCATCAATTGCCATCAGAAAGCCCCAGTGACTTCCTTGAGCTCCTCTACCAAGCCTTCAGGAAATATAATGATTTGGATCCAGAAGTTCCAGCAAACTCCCACTTGGTGAACATGCTCTTTATTAGGCAGAGTGCCCCAGATATTAGGTGCAAATTACAGAAGCTGTAGGGAGCTTCAGCTGACACAATTGGAAAATTGTTGGAAGTAGCTTATAAAACCTATGTATCAAGACCAGAAGTAACAGCCAAAGGGGTTTAAAGGGATGAAAAACGAAGCATTGTTTTGCGGCTGAAGCTCTACAATGGGCACCCCTAGTGGGAGGAGGAAGAAGTGGGACTCGCGGAAGAGGATGGCGAGGAGCTTTAGGGCCTCCTCGGGAGAAAAGTGGATGATGCCACCAAGATTCCAAGCACCCCCGGAACGTCCAATGCAGTCTTTTGCCCTAAGACTGGACCAGTGTCGTATATGTAAGAAATTTGGCCACTGGGGCAGGGAATGTCCTTTATGTTCCCTTCCCAGCCATCCTATAGGGTGTGTTACTCCACAACCATGCTTTAAATACTAGGGGGGTCAGGGGCTAGGGGGTCTTTGTCTCCCTGCCCTTTCAAATGATTCTCCCTTTGCACCCATGGTAAAGTTTAAAGTTGGAGGGAAAACAATATCTTTTTTGATTAATACGGGGGCTTCACATTCAGTATTAAATAAGCCCCTTGGAAACTCTTCCTCACAAACGTTCAACGTTATTGGGGCCAATGGCCAATCTATATCAGCAGCAATACTTGACCCTTTAGAATGTTCTTTAGGTGATACTCACCTTACTCATCAATTTATTTATCTTCCAGATTGCCCTATGCCCCCTTTAGGGCATGATTTGCTTGCTAGGTTACAGGCAACTATCTCTTTCAAAGGGGACCAGGTTGAATTATCAGTTCCCCCTGAACAAGCCTGGCATGTCCTGACCCTTCAACTTTCCTCATCTGAGGACACACATGAGTGTCCTGGTTTGTTAGATTGCTTTGTTGACTCTAATGTATGGTATTCAGGGGTCCCTGGCCGGGCTATTAACGCAGTTCCCATGGAAGTAGCCTTGCACCCTGATGCACTGCCAGTCTCCATTCGTCAATATCCAATTAGCTTGGAGGCTTTACAAGGGTTAGAGCCCCTCATTACTAATTTCCTTGCTTATGGGCTTCTCAGGGAAACTGTTAATCCTTATAATACACCAATTCGGCCTATTAAAAAGCCAAATGGCTCTATCCATTTCTGCCAGGACAAGAGCAATTAATCAGATCACTATGACATTGCATCATATGGTGCCTAACTCCTATATGCTGATTTCTCAACTGGGTCCACATCTTACTTGGTACACTGTTATTGATCTAAAAGACACTTTCTTTTGTGTCCCTTTGGCTCTTGTTAGCCAGCCCCTCTTTACTTTTCAGTGGAACATAGGCAACTTTGCTGGACTGTTTTACCTCAAGGATTTAAAAATAGCCCTACTATTTTTGGTACTGTCCTGGCCACTGATTTAGTCACATGGTGACCTGTGGAGAACACTACTGCTGTGGTGTTACAATATGTCGATGACTTACTAGTAGCTGCCCCCACTGAGGGCAATTGTCTTTTGAATTCAGTTTCTTTGTTAAATTCCCTTTGTTATTGGGGCTATAAAGTTTCCCATACTAAAGCCCAGCTTGTTAAACAGGAGGTTCGCTATTTAGGTTATATTCTGTCAAAAGGGACTAGAAAATTATCCCTGGAGAGGATCCAGGCTGTGTGCCTCCTTAAGCCACCTGGTACTAAGCGTCAGCTTAGGGGTTTCTTGGGAATGGCAGGTTTCTGTCGTATTTGGATTCCAAATTTTGCTTTAATGGCTAAGCCCTTGTATCAGGCCACTACAGGCTCAGATAAAGAACTCTTTGAATGGACCAAGGATTGTCAGGTGGCATTTGTTAACATTAAGACCGCTTTAGTCAATGTTCCAGCCCTTGGCATTCCTGATGTCACTAAACCATTCACCTTGTATGTGGCTGAAAGTAAAGGGGTGGCTGCTGGGGTCCTTACTCAAACCCTTGGTACTTGGTCTCACCCTGTTGCCTATTTTTCCAAACAACTTGATCCTGTTGCTCAAGGATGGCCAGCATGCCTTCGGGCCGCTACAGCTGCTGTTCTCCTTTTGGGGGCTGCTGAGCAATTAACCTTTGGGGCTTCTATCACAGTGGAATCACCCCATTCCATCTAAGATTTGTTAGCATTTAAGGGGGGCCATTGGTTTACAGCCTCCCGACCGGAGTGGTATCAGATTGCACTCCTTGACAACCCACAAGTTCACATCAAGCGCAGTAGCAGGTTTAATCCAGCAACCTTTCTTCCCCAACTGGAACCAGATAGTGATCATGATTGTGTGCAGACTGTTACAGAAGTATTTTCTGGCCGGCCGGATTTAATTGAGGAAGCAACAGGGACCTGTATACAGATGGCAGCAGTTTTATGAGTCAGGGAGAAAGGCTAGCTGGCTATGCCGTGGTCACATTGGATCAGGTAGTGGAAGCGGCAGCTCTCCCTGCAGGTACCTCAGCTCAAAAAGCTGAACTCATTGCCTTGACGAGGGCCTTGGAATTATCAGAGGGTGAGGTTGTTAATATCTTTACAGACAGTAAATTTGCTTTTAGTGTTCTCATGTTCATGGGGCCTTGTGGAAAGAACGTGATTTGCTCACCGCTCAAGGCACCCCTGTAAAATATGGACAGGATATTTTGAGGCTGCTGGATGCTATTTTGCTCCCACACAAGGTAGCTGTCATGCATGTGAGGCCCATGGTAAGGAGGATACTAAACATGGAAAGGGAAATGCCTTGGCCAACCGCACTGCAAAGTATGCCACATCAGGTCCCCTGTCCCCTTGGTATGTGGGTGCACTTGTACCTACACTTTTGCCTGTGCCGGCTCCAACATACACTTCACAGGATAGACACAAAGCTTATAAAATGGATGCTGTTTATCAAGGATAATGGCTGGAGAATGGGAAATGTCTTCTCCCAGATCATGAATTATGGGCCCTCTTATGGGAATTGCATGCCAGCACTCATTGGAGTTATAAGGCCATGGCTGAGTTTCTTATAAAGGACTATATTTGTCCTGGGATATATGACAAGGCCCTCACAACAATCAAGCAATGTATAATTTGTCAACATAATAATCCTGTAAAGACTATTAAGTTTCCCTTGGGAAGGCTTAGACCTGACCATGCTCCTGCTAGTTTTTGGGAGGTTGATTTTACTGAGTTGCCAAGGAAACAGGGTTTTCAATACTTGCTCATTTTTGTCGATGCTTTCTCTGGATGAATTGAGGCTTTTCCATGCCATACTAACAAGGCACATGAGGTGGTCAAAGCCCTTCTAAAGGAAATTATCCCACGTTTTTCCTTTCCGTACCAAGACATTGGCTCTGACAATGGGCCCCATTTTATCTCTGACATTACCCAGCAGGTGTCTCGGGCCCTGGGTATTGATTGGCAGCTTCATTCGGCCTACAGGCCCCAGTCTTTGGCACATGTGGAGAAGGCTAATGGCGTTCTTAAATGTCATCTTGCCAGGCTTGCTTAGGAGACACATCTCACTTGGGTACAAGCACTGCCCCTCGCTCTTTTGCATGTGAGAACCGCCCCCAAGCAACCTCTTGTCCTGTCCCCCTTTGAGATCATGTACGGTAAGCCCTTTCTTTATCATTCTTCCTTATCCACCTCCCTCCCTGTTTTTGGAGACCAGGCCCTCAGGAAATATATACACTCTCTTGCTAATAATGTTTCTTCCATTTCTCAAACTGTTCAGGCCCTCCATCATCTGGGATTGGATCATTCACTCCATCCTTTCCTTCCTGGTGATTGGGTGCTTGTCAAGTCCTGGACTGATTCTGACTCTTTAGCTGAGCGCTGGAAAGGACCTTTCATTGTTCTTCTCGCTACCCACATAGCACTCAAGGTTTCTGGGATTTGTACTTGGACATCACACTCGCCTTCGCTCTTCTTCGCCACCTTCTGATACTGAGGACCAAGTTGCTTGGACTGCAGCCACTGATGCTGAGGATGACCTTGGGCTGAAGCTTCTGTTTGTCCAACACTGACCTGTATGCCGGGACATTTTGGTTGTTGTGATACCTGTGCCCGCCGGGCTTCCACTCGGGTGGTTTTCTCTCACTGGCTTCTTGCTTACTTACACTGCAGGCTCCGCTCCTCTCTGTTTTGGGTGTCATCTTATTTTCTGTTTGGGTTGTTCATCTTTTCTTTTTTGTTACTCTATCTTGTTTTTCTTTCCCTACTCCATGTTTTTTTTTCTTTCTTTCTTTCTTTTTTTGTGTGGAGCCTGATCTACCCCTATGGGGGGGATTATGGAAAGAGTGGCCAGGTTCTGGCCATGGTCAAGATATGTGACATGGCACGGGGCACAGGCCCTCCAGACATGGACTCCCTTGATACTTTGCCATATTTGAGGCCTCCCGCTATGTCTCGGAGGAGAAGATCTCCTCTTGCCCATGGTAGGGAGAGTCCAGACGCTGGCCAGGAAAACCCAAAGGCCCCATCACATGTATCTCACCTTGGAAAGGTAGTTCCAGGACTTCAGCCAGATGTTTCTCATAATGCTAATGTTGGACCTAAAAGGGGCACTTTGTACGATAAAGCCCAAAGTAAGGCGGCATCTGATATGCTGCCTCCAGGTGAAACCAGACATCAAGAAGGGGTTCTGCCATTTCCAGTTGATCATATCTTGGCAGAACAGCCACCTTCTTTTGATTCTGGGATCCTAGATCTGTGCCTGAACAGTCTGGGGAATTACAAACATCATTCCTTGTCTTTCCCAGTCAAAGAGAAGGTCAAGCTGGTCCCAAATTTCCCAGTCCCTCTTTAGGAATTTGGAGCTCCAACACCCATATACAGAATATGCAAGCGTGGGTTAAGCTTTTGAATGTAACAGATTGCTGGATATGTACACATATACCCCCCCATTGGTACACATGGATTGGTCATGGAAGCTACACCCTTAGAAGCCTTTATGTTCAGCATGAACAATGCAACAAGGGGCTGGACACTTCCTGTGTTTGGGGCAGGAAAGTTGCGAATTGCTAAACTTGGTGCGCGTATAGAGCACCCTGCAGCAGCTTGTCTTAGTCATTTTAATTCTTCTTCCAGATATAAGTTAGGGATCTATGCACCTTGCACAGTCACATGGAAGGTTAGTACTAGCATGTGGGATGGTTGGCATAGATGTCATCAGACCTTTGGTCTCGACCACAAGAAGGACCCCTCTGCTCTTTGTAGTCTGTTTGCAGCAATGGGACTTATGGCTTATATGTCTGGTGTTAAAGCTTATATGCCTGAAGGGTTGGAAGGCAAACCAGACATTTATCTTGCTAACCATCTGGACTGGTGGTTCCTTTGTGGTCGATTTGCCTATAAATCTTTGCCAGCTTACTGGTCTGATACATGTACCATAGGAATTATCTTTCCCTCTGTTCATATCATCCAACATAATGATTGGAACTTTTGCATCCACAATCGGTGGGAGAAGGACCACCTTAAGCATGAAGAACATATTGAATATCATCCTGTACCTCATGGCCTGGGAAATGCCATTGCATGAGCATTAATTCCAGCTATGGGAGTTGGTTTGAATTATAAATCTGTTATAGAATTAGGTGACTGGATAGAGGAAATGTTTAACCACACCATACAGGCATTTACACAACTCAATAAGGAACAGGGAAAAATACAGGAGGTAGTGGTACAGAATCGCCAAGCATTGGATATGGTACTGGCTGCAAAAGGTGGGGTGTGTGCTTTAGTCCACTCACATTACTGCACTTTTATAACTGATTATCAAGTTAATATTAGTCACATCATCCATCTCAAGGAGAAAGGAATTAGGAATTACCCTAAAGATCTGAAGATTTCTACTGATACTGTATGGGGGGGTCTTCAATGGTATATTCTCATTTCTTACCAGCTGGCTCCCCGGATGGGGATGGTTTAGGGCAGTGATGGTGAACCTTTTAGAGTCCGAGTGCCCAAACTGCAACCCAAAATCCACTTATGCATCGTCGGGTGCCGGGTGGGTGTGGCCCATTGGGTGGGTGTGGCTGCAGTGGTAACAGCAGACTGGGTGGGACTAAAAAGTTCAATCAATTAATTCCAACTTTGCAAGATCTTTTTTTTTCCCGCAAGAAGTTGAAATTGACTGATTGATTGAACCTTTTTTTTTGTACACGGTGGCGAAGGCCTAAAGCGAAAAGATTTTATAAAACCCAGCTGAAGATCTAGGACTGGAGTGGGGCGACGGTGCACATGCCCACAGAGAGGACTCTGAGTGCCGCCTCTGGCACCTGTGCCATAGGTTCGCCACCACTGGTTTAGGGAATTATTCATTGGTCTTCTCTTTGTAGTATTCCTTGTTCTTGTTTCCTGTTGTGTCATACACTGCTTGCCCCTAATCACCTCTGCTTGTCCTAAACGATGTGTACAACGTACTGCAGAAGCTTATCCTCTGTCTCTTCAGTTTGATGGTCATACTTCTGCGAACTGCTCGAAGTATGAAATGGGGCATTATGTTGACCCAGACTTAGAGGACAGTATTAATTGTGAATACATGCAGATGGCCCCACTATCTTTGGCCACTTGCAGAACCATGAATGCAAGGGCATAAAAGGACAGCAAAAGAAACACCCAATATCCTAACCCACCCGGGAACATATGGTGTCTTAGGGAAACACCTAAACCACCCAAAAGGGAACATATGGTGTCTTGGAGAAACACCCAAAAGGGCACCTTTTTAGCTACTTCTGCTTCCTTCCTTCTTATCTACAGTGTGCCAGCCTTAAAGGGCGAAGTCTTTATGTTATGTGTGTCAGCTTTGTTGGGTGAATTGCTTATGTAATCAAAGAAAGTATAAGAATAAGGCTTTTCTGATAGTTGGGGCTTTTTCTCTCTTTTAGAGAAGCCTGTCTTTGTTCAGCTGAATAAAAATGTAAAGCTTGAAGGTAACTTCTGGTTTCCTGTATTTTTTATCAAGCAAAACCTCAGAACCTGCATAGCACCTTCCACAGTGCAGCATCAGCTGGGGCGGCAGTGGGCTGGGGGCATACACAGGATGATGTGGAGCAGCAGCAGTGAGGGGTGGGCATGCACCAGAGCCCGCCTTTCCCCACCGCCGCCCCCACCATCGCAAGGAGCTGCTGCCGGCCATGCCTGGTGATGCAGAGATCACCGCTGCTGCGGCCGCTGCCTCCTGCCCAGACCCACACGTTGCCCAGGCACTGTGGCCCTATGAGGCTGGGCAGCCGGTGTGCAAGATCCACTGCTTCATCAGGCTGCTGTGGTGGGGCCGGCTGCGATCAGTGGGCAGCTGAGGTGGCTCCAGTCCTCTGGTTGCCCCTCTGCCTCCTCCTGCTTCCCTCCATGGCCGGCCAGTCGAGAGGGTGGAGCAGTAGAAGCAGCAGCAGCCGCTTCCGCCATCAGAGCCACCGAGTGAACAGGGCCCGGGCCAGGCGAGGGTCCCCTTCCAGCCATCCTGGGACTGTCTCCGCCCATGCTACCTCTTCTGCTTTTTTTTCTCCAGAGTGTCAAAATACATGGAAAGTCACATAATCTTCATTAAAACCATAGAAATTTGAGGCAGGTGGAGTTGCCCAAGGAAGAAGCCATACAATAGTCAGTTCTGATTTTGTTGATGCTGTTTGGTTTTTAAATTATTTGTTGAGAAACTATGCATTTATCTTTTTTGCATACTGCTATATTTCATAACTGCAGATAGTTAATGACATTAATACATATACATATAAACCATCCACAATGGTCAAGTTTAAGTAATTAAGCTAAATTAGACAGATAATTTAATTAATTTCAATATTAATTAAATGAATTAAATAAAATAGAATGGAATCATATGTGGATATGTGTCATCTTGCAAAAGGCTAACTTAATGGCTATCTCGATCTCAGTTACAAGTAGTTAAGATATGAACTTACCATAGCTAAGCTATTCAGAGAATATCACAGCCAGTAAATCAACCAATCTTGTTCCATATTCTCCAACTACCAAACCCACATTTTTCCTGTGTGTTATTTTGAAAGGGGGTTTCCCCATCACCATCCTGATTCCAGTAGAAAGATACATTTAATGCAAATAATGACTATTCCACAGAAGTATGTAAATTATCACCCTCTCATTTTGAGTCTTCCAGAATGAAGCTAGACCAATGGGTAGTTACTGAGCTCCCTCTAGTGTTATTCATGCTCATGAATTTTCATCTTCAATTAATCGAGCTTTGTTAAATTTTATAAGTAAATCAAAAGGAAACCAACTGTGTTTATTAGTAAATAATAATGATAATATATAACATACATTAATTTCATTAAGTTGTAATCTTCAGTATGAATTTTAATCAATTACAGATATTAAGAATTCTGATAATTTTGGAGCGCAATGCTCCTCTCACCTTCTTCCCATGTTTATTTTGTTAATTAAGAAGAGCAATTGTGATATCACTGCATACACTGCAGGGTTCCTCTTGTATAATAAACAGGCCTGTTTATGGAAATTATCATAACTCTATTCAGATTTGCTACATTTTTTCTCCCAACTGGATTTTACATATACTGTGTATCTACACACATGTTTATGAGTAGACTCTGAACTTCATCAGAATACATGGGAATTCTTTTTAATTAATTTTAATTTTGTAATTGTTATTGGTGTTTTTTAATCGATTGTCAGCCGCCCTGAGTCCGCAAGGAGAAGGGCGGGATATAAATTCGAATAATAAAATAATAAAAATAAAATAATTACTTCAAAGCACAAAACTCTACTGATTCTTTGATAGAACTGTGACATGGGTCCATTGTGAAGAATAATGTGTGTGAATCAATTTGATAACCTGGGTATTAATTGCAACATTCTGTGAAACTGAACATTCTGCTTTCACAGGAAAGACTGTCAGCTAATGCAGTGAAATCACACAAAGCCTTCTTAACTACATTAAGAAGTTTCAAAAGAAAAAAAGTGAAACAGTAAATCCTATTGCTTGATCAAAACTACTCAAAATCTATCATTGCCTTTTTGTCTGATATTCTAATAATTAGTATTAATTCATTAATTATATTATTTACAGTTTTAAAAAAGTGTCACTCATCTTTTTATATGATATTTTGTATGCTTAAATGCATGCATTTAGCCTTCTTGTTTGTGTATACATGTGTGTGTGAGAGAGAGAGTAGCAACAGAGACAGGCAAATTACACCTTGTTGTGTATTTAATATAATCCCCACCCATTTCCTGATGTTATAAAAGCAATTAACTGCCCATGTTTTAGAGATGAATCTTCTAATATTTGTCTAATGGAGAAGCTTAGAAAATTAAGGAACTTTCATGGCAAAGGTACGGTGTGATAATTATTACACTGAGTTGGCTAGTTATATTAGGGTATAGCATTATTCATTTTTTATGGACATAATGAAAATTGTAAACACTTTTCTTGTTGAGAATATATTGAATAGTTAATTCTTTTGAATACAATATGTAGGTAGATTGCAGCTGCAATTATTCATATACTTAGAAAAATGCCATATGTTATTTACATCTGACTCTCCAGGCATAGGCTTGGATTGCAGCTTGTACAGTAGATTAAGAAGTGAAATAATAGAAAAACAACTATATTCATAGGAAAATATCTCTGAATTACTTCTTATATTTTTGCATTAAAAATGCCATTCTTTATCATTGATACTTAGACAAACTAGTGTAAACTATCATCAGATAATTTTTCATGATTTTTTTGTCGAAACATTTGCATGGATTCTTTCCCTCTAATCTCTGCTTCCTTTTTTCTTAATATTTGTTTGGAAGCACATGCCAAATGTGTAGACACCAAGAATAAATACATAATGAAAATTGGCCACACTGTGTTTTCATTAATGTATCCATTATCCAACTGAACTCATTCTGAATGGACCTTTTCATTATTTGTTAAATGTTAAGGAATTCTGGAAAAAGCCAGGCTCTATTTCACAAGAAAGACTCTACCATCTTTGGAAGAAAGGAAAAAATACGACTATGAGTTTGCAACTTCCACCTCCTTCCATGGGGTCAACAATATTATTCATACCAAGAGCAAGACACGCAAGATCTTATGGATGGTAGTAGTCTTGGGCTCCATTGTCCTAGTTGCCTGGCAGGTTTATTGTCGTTTCTTCAATTATTTCAGCTGGCCCACCACAACCTCAGTTGTAGTTCAATATGTGGAGAATATTGAATTTCCTGCTGTAACATTTTGTAATCTGAACAGGTAAGGCATTATTTTCATCTTTGTGTCTTAGATAATTTTAAGCTATGAAGATCACAATTGGACAACCATCAAGACTAACAATTCTAGCATTTTAGAGTATGCATTTACTGTATATGAGTTAAAGGCTGCAATATTGTAGCCAGTGTAAAGTTAGATAATATTTGTGTAATTCATCTTTGCTTTGGAAAAAAAGCATAGACAGCCTTGAGCTACTCAAGCATTCAGAACTTATATTTGCATTTCTGATTTATGCTTATAGGTTCCAAACTCAAGCAGTAGCTAACCTGAGCATCGTTTTCTTTCTCTGGAGCATAGTATCTGGAGTTCTTCGTATGTTCAGTACTGATGATACGTTTAGTCAAGAACTACAAGATTTTTTTCAAGGGAATCAAAATTTCAGCATCAAAGAATTCACAAGAGATAATGGTTTCTATCTCAACAGCAGCACATTGCTGAGTTGTGAATTTTTTGGGAAAAAATGCCATCCAAAGGTAATATTTTTGTTTTTATAAAAAATGTACTAGCCAAATGCTGAAATAAATGTAGTCTTGATCTAATGAGCTGAAAGGCAATATTGTCTGAAAAAATATTTTCTGAAAACTGAAAGACAGTTTTCTACCAGGGTAATAGAATGCATATTTGGCTGTCAGAATGCATATTTTGATTTTTTAGCAAAGGGCTATATATGCAAAGTTAATAATGCACCAAGCACATGCAATGTGATAATACATGCTAATATTTTATTTGTTTTTTTATTATAGCCTTTTATTATTTTTATAAATAACTCAAGGCAGTGAACATATCCTCCTCCTATTTCCCAACAACAACTGTGTGAGGTGGGTTGGGCTGAAAGAGAGTGACTGGTTCAAAGTCACCCATATGGCTTTCATGGCAAAGGTGGGACTTAAATTCACAGTCTCCTACTTCCTAGCCTGGTGCCTTTACCACTAGACCAACCTGGCTCTCAATATATCTTAAGGTTGGAGGTTTTTTGCTCAGTGTTTCACCAATACATAAGGATATAGGTATACACTAGTGTAGGGGTCTGCAACCTTGACAACTTTAAGACTTGTGGATTTCAGCTGCCAGAATTTTTAATTCACAAAGTGAAACTTGAATGTAATTCAAAAATTAATTCCCACTTATCCATCAAAAAAGGTCAGAACATAATTATTGAAATTTAAAAGCTCATAAAAAATAGTTCCCATAGACGTACAGTATTCCCAAGCAGATTGTACCTCATTAATATTTGGTTTTATTTACGCTAAATAAAAGCATTGTGACTAAAAACTCCCTAATTAAATTCCATTGATTTCACTGATGGGAACTTACTACAAGCCTAAGCATGATGAGATCTGCGTTGATTGGCTACTTTCAACAGTGATCTTTAGCCACAGCTAAAATTCAATCTTTAGTTTTTTTTAATTAGAAAGATACTTGCAAAACTGTGTGTAGTACAAACTTCTTCATTCACTGACTTCTGTGGTACTAAAATGTCACAGGTAATAGCAAAACCCAAAAGCTACAATGTCTGTGAGAAAATACTAACTCCATTTTTCTTTTTCTTTTTTCTTTGTGGAAGGACTTTGCTCATGTCTTTACTGAATATGGGAACTGCTTTACTTTTAATCATATTAACCTTCCTACAAGAAGAAGAGTTAGCCTTTCTGGAAGAGGCCTCAGTTTGATTTTTGATGTCAAACAGGTAGAGATATTCTCATGAATGTACCATTTTTGAAACTCCACTGGTTAGTGAACTACTATAATTTGTTTGTTATTTCCTTGCCAAGGTTAGCAAGTCATGGTGAGGGAAAAATCAGAGTTGGTGCCTGGAATGTAAGCTGTCTGCTCTTTTCTTACCATTTTCCATTGATTAACTAGAAGGAGTACTGGCCCATTTAATGAGGATGGCTGAATTTGGGGAGCTAACCAGAGGGGCAACTCCATTGGGACAAAATCTTATGTACAGTAGTTACATTTGCTATGATTAGCACAGTGTTTTTCAACCAGAGCAACTCCTAGATGTGTGGATTTTGACATGGCTGGCTGGGGAATTCTGGTGGCTGAAATCTACATATCTTAAAAGTTGCCAAGGTAGAAAACACTGGTTTAGCCTAAAGAAGGGAAGGCTAAGTGCAGACATGTCTTTCAATACATGAAGAGATGTTACAGAGTATAAGGCAAGAACCAGTGAGTGGAAGCTTAATAGGGAAAGATCCAAACATGGAATAAAGAGAAATTTCCTCATTGTGTGAGCTATTAAACAGAGGAAAAAAATTATAGATGTTTCATCACTGCACTTTTTCAAGAACAGAATGTCCACAACAGGATGGGATTCCTGCAATGGGATGAGGGTTAATTAGATTATCTTAAAGAAATTAATACCCCATTATATTAGAATGATTCAATGCCTATCATTCCCAATCAGCTGGCATTATTGTGGTCTTGTTGAGATTAATGTGATGTGTGGAGGCAATAGATTGGGGAATGGCAAATTGTATGAATTTATCAGAATGTTTTGAACTTAATTATAAGTTTAAGCATTGTCAAAGTTTGAATGTGCTAGTTTATTGTTTCAGCTATATACTGCAATCTCATACATGCTGGAACTTCAAAAGAGCAGGTCCAAAAATACCCAGCAGGATATTGCTTATTATTAGGCTTCCTTCAAACTAGCAGTGACTTGCTTAAGTACTCTATGGAGCCCAGTCTAGTCTACATTCTTGTCCCTGCCTTTTAGAAATAGTCAAATGCAATTTTTAAAATACATTTAAAATGCATTTAACAAACATAACAAACACTTAGAGGCTAAATTCTGATCATAGGGGTTTTCAAAGATCATCTTTATGTTTATGATTTGAGCATGTTAAAGTGAGCTTTGAATGAGAATTAATGATACAAAATATCAAATAGTTGTGTCTTTAGTTACATTTGGGCAGAATAAATTTCTTATCCTTAAAGAGTTAATATAATCGTAACTTAGGAATTCCTATACACAAAAGTGCAACAATATATAGCAAGATATAGCAAGATGCAATATCTTTCTTTCAAAGTGCAGTATGGAAAATTAAGGAAATTTCTACATACTGAGAAATGAGTGTCAGCACTGGGAGCAGGGGGCACTAATGCTATCATGTGCATCATGATGTCATGGTTCAAATGACTTTAATAATATATTGGTATCTACCAGATGTTTGTGATGAGAGAATCTATTCTTGCAGTTACCAAGTATTAGAAACAATAGGTTGTATGCTTTTAACCTGTATTCTTTGTCAGGGCATTTTCCATTTTTTAATTTCCTGTCAGTTTTCATTGTATTTGGGTAATTCTGAAACATTGATCACTTCATTTTACAGTCTGGATTCCAAGATATGTAGATAAAGTTTGAATGGTCATTTGTATGGTAGTCACAAAGACATAAACCTAAGATTATCCTAAAGTGTGTAAATTTTACATTTGTTTTTGTTTGCACTTTTGGTCAGTGACCATAATTAAAACTATTTGCATTTGCTCAGACCTAATGGGACCTGCTGTCCAGTAAGTATGTATAGAACTGCAGTCTTAATCTGTATGGTTGAAGGATAATTAATAATAAAAATGACATATTACATAATATAACAATACCTCATACCAATATTCATATTGTTTTGTTTCAATTCATCAGCACTGTAGATAATTTTGCAAGAGAGCAGTTAACAGATCACTGACATAGAATTTATCCCATCTATTTTACTATATCTTTCTCTAAATAATCTTATTAGAGTCAGTTCACTGATGATCCTAGTCTTGGTTTTGTTGATGCTGGCATAACCTTTGCTATCCACTCACCTAAAGAACCTCCCCGATTTGATGGTTTAGGTGTTTTTACACCAGTGGGGATGCATGCCCATGCTGCAATCCAAGAGGTAAAAGTAAGTATTAGCATTTGATATGCAAAATGAGATTCAATATTATTTTATTTTTTATATTTTAAACAAATCAAAAATAAAATATATGATTTGTATAGTTATAACAAACATGTTTTAAAGAGATTACAGAGCTTTAGGATTTAGTCTGCAATAATAATTGTTGATCTGCATAGTTAAATCAAATTCAGTCCTGATAATGAACTGTTGTAGAATAAGATAAGGATTAGATTAGGGTTAGGATTAGGGAATAGAAGGAATAAAAAAGTAGCATTTTTAAAAGTTACATTGAGATAGGACCTTGATTCTGCTATAAAGCAAAATGTGCACTATAGCTTTTTTATTTATTTCAGCCTAGGAATATAATTCACAGTATATTCAGTTATGTTTTGTATTCAAAGATGATTTGTGCTGAAAATGTTTATTTTACAGTGATTATTTTTCTGGGCTTAATTTTTAAAAGTTGTTCAGTCAACACTTTGCTATTGAAATTGATGCCATTTTCTCAAAATAAACTTCCTTTTTTCACATCAGACAATTATCCAAGAATATCCTTGGGGAGAATGCAACCCAGATATCAAGCTTCAGCATCATCAAATCTACAGTACATATGGATGCCTACAAGAATGCAAGGGCCACCTTATACAAAAGCACTGTGAATGTTTACCTTTTATGCTGCCAGGTACAACTTGGCAGATGTACTTATTTTACAAAGGTCTGGATTCTGGGTTAACAAAAATCCAATAGTGTAGGAATCATGATTGGAGAAAAAAGCTACCAAGATGTCTAAACGCAGATGTTACAATACATTTAGATTAAAATGCAAATGGATAAAGTTCAAAACAGAAATATATAAATGTGACATACCACAATTAATGCAACAGTGAAGTATAAGGATACCTCTGCTATGGAGAGAGTGGACATTCTATTTTTAACAGTGAAGTATAAGGATACCTCTGCTATGGAGAGAGTGGACATTCTATTTTTGCTTTACATAGACCTTCTCTGTATACCACTTTCAGGGAAAACTTCAAAGGAGATATAAGTACTGGGAAAAAATGGCTGAAATTGCCATTTGATTCATCAATAGAATATTAATGTAAATATTGTTACTCTCTTTCTTTCTCCTATATAAAGAGATCTTATATATGTCCTGTGAGTGAATATAAAGCTGAATTGTTAGATGAATGGAAATATAAGTTTGAAAGTGCTATTCATACTTTTGTTTATATTTCTCATTTTCATTTACTGCAACTGTCGTGTGCACCTGTTGAAAAGGAAATGGCACAGAATGTGATTTGGAGAAATTTTACAGCTGTGTTTCTCCTACTTTGTGTGAGTATAACTAATAATAAGTATCACAAAACTAAAAACTGGTTCAAAACTTCCATTGTAGCTGTACCAAATTATACCTAGTTAGATCACTAAGCTATGGACATGATAATATGGCCACTGGGTGAATGATGGTACATGACCTGAGCTCTTGCACCACTCTTGTAAGATTCAGTAAGATATAATATTAGAATGTAACATAGGGTTTTCCTAACTATATGCATATCACAATTACATAAATGCATCAGACATAATTATAAGGATTAGAAAACAAGTTAACAAGAGTCTGGCATTTACATTGATGGAAATAACAAATTAAGGAAAATATGCAGGTTATGGCTTCTTGAATTCTTTCCAACTCTGACCAGCACTGAACAGTACATGGTGGACTCTGCATGCACTGCTCTAGATACTGTGGCCAATATGAATAGGTATTTAGAATGGAGCACTTGGTAATAGTCTGAGAAGCTGCACAACTGTCTCTTCCATACAGTTTCATTGGTGCAGTTATTTTCTGAGTGTCTTTCTGCACAGTCCCAAATAGGATCCATTGAAATTTTGGAACGTATTAATTTTGCTAGCTTCTACACCATTCCAATTTGATCCTATTCCACTTAGGTTTTTTCAGGGTGAACTTGTCTATGTACATAAAGAATCTTGAGCCTCTTTACCTAATTTTGTTCTGCTGGGTTGCAAAGAATACAAAATGAATCCAGTACAGTTGGACATCAGTGAATATTTTATTGATATAAATAATTTAGTATCTCTCCCTCTGTGTGTGTACTGTTTTTTTCATTTTAGATAAAATAGAATTCATGGGATTGTGCACAGTAGGAACACATAATTCCACATGTCCAGTACCATGTGAAGAAACAGATTACCCAATCACCATCTCGTATTCTACTTTTGCAAGTGAACAAGCTCTGAAATTCCTATCTGCAAAGCTGAAGAAAAAAACAGAATATGCCAGGTATTTTTCTTTTTATCATATAGTCAAACCATAGGCAGATTTCAGGTTTAGTTTCACTCCATATGCAGCACCTGCTTAATAGTGTTGGGCCCAGAAGCTATGCAAAGCTTGGCCTGGTTACTACTTTTGCAGGAGACAAGATAAATAATAACAAAAAAGACCCAATAAAAGTAATAGCAAACCAATCATGGTCCAAAGAGCACCTTGGATATAGCCATACATTCAGCAGGATTTTTACTTTTTACTTTTACTTTTCTTTTAATATGAAAACATTGGATTAAAGACCTTTAAATTTTATCATGATTGTGATGTCACCTTGCAGTGCAATCCCAGCTCTTTCTCAGTGTGCTCTGACTTTGGAACCACTAATGGAAAAAGGAACTGGATGTAAATAAAGGTTTCCATCTGTTCCTTATTCTATAGATACTATATGTTGGTAATATTTTGGGCTAGGCTACATTTTTTATTGGTCCCTGAAAGGACTATATGCCAACCTTTTTTTTTTTTTGCCAAATTGTACTAGAATTATTTGCTTTGAAAGATGACATATTTAACTCTTTCCTCAATTTAGTCCTATTGTTGCATTCTTATTTACTGATATAATCCAAGAACTGTTATGATTTATTTAGGAGAAGAAAATCAGTGTGAAGATTCCAGGGTGGGAAAGACTGAAAAAAATCATTCTAGAAAAAGCATCCTCCCGTGTCATTGCTATGATAAAAAATGTACTTGCTTTATATCAAAAACAGGAGTGCCATGGATCTTTTTTGCAGACTGAGTTTCCTATCAACATTTTTATTTAATTTATTCTGACATTTGATTGTCCACAAATGGAGCTCTATCTTGCAATTACTCAGTGAAGCTTGACAAATTACAGGAAAATATTTCTGTTCCCAAGTACTTAACCAACATGAATCTAGCAAACATATTAATAAGCAAACATAATAAACATTATAAATGGTCATCTAATTGTCATTCATTGATTTAAAAAAACAAAAGTAAAAAAGTAAAAAAAATAAATAGCTGTAAGCCATAGGTATAGAGTACTAGGGTATCTATTGTGTCAGCAGTCATAAAAATGGTGCCCATTAGCAAAACCATTAAGTAATTGTAAGACAAAGTGTTCTGAAGAGAAAAATATTACCTAAGAAAGAAATTGTTGCATTAAAGAATCCTGGATTTTCAGAACTAGGCAAAAAATAGGCAGTCTTTTTATTATTTAAGAATCTACAGTCAAAGAACAAAAAAGAAAGAAAACACCCAATGTTAAAATACAAAATAGCTAGGCTAAAAATCCTGTTGACAGCTGGAATTAAACATCCAATGGCATCTGAACACCATTGCTCTGCCACAGAATTTAGCCACCTTCCCAGATATTAAATCAGTATTCTATTTTGCATTATCAATTATACTCTTCTGTTTGTCATGGCCATGAAGCCCAGGAAAAGACATCCAGTTATGAGGCCACTGCCATACCCACATAGATATTTTGTATATAATTACATGGATTGTGTGTATATGTTTACTTCTCTTCATCATGTTTTCATCATACAATAAATAAATAACAATATTAGTAATTTGCATACTGGAATTGGTCTTCCAAAGTTGATTGATAGAGCATTTTAGGTGTCCCCAGAGGCAGGAAGTTTCCATCTCTAGTTCTGGATGGGGTACATTGTCAAACTAGTGCGCAATTTGGAGATCCTCCTGGATTCATGTTCAGAGACCAGGTGGCAAATGTTGTAAGTAGGGCTATTGCACAACTATGTTTTGAAAAGCACACTCTTTCCTGGACTAGGATATGTTGTTCATGGTCACCCATGATTTGGTTACCTTCCAAGTGGACTATTACAAAGTGCTATGGAGCATGGTGGCTTGTGTGGTTAGGACACTGGGTTGAAGGTTAGCAAGCCCACATTCAAGACCCGAGTTCTGCTGTGGGGCGGGGTGAGCTCTCTTCCTTAGCTCCAGCTCCTGCCAGGGACCTGCAATAAACCCCCAACTGGGCGTCCCCTGGGCAACAGTGATGTCACCAGCTAATCCTTTCAAACCAAAGCACCACAGTGCTTCTGACATGAGTGTGATGTGATTACAAAGTGCTCTGCATGGGGATGTCCTTGAAAAGCATCTAGAAGTTGCAACTGATCCAGAATGTAGCAGCACAGACTTGTTATATCTCTGCTTTGTGAGCAACACTGGCTCCCAGTATGCTTGCAGGTATACTTCAAAGTACAGGTTGTCAGCTTTCTCAACTTTTCATGGCATGGGGCCAGGTGATTTATGGGAGTACATCTCTCTGATTGCTTCTACCTATCCAATTAGATTCAGGAATGCTAATGATTAAAAAATGCTATCTTGCAGAACCCAGAAAGCAGGTCTTTTCTGTCACAATACTTGCCCTTTGGAACATCATAGCCCTGAGATCTGATTGGTCCAGACACTTTTCAGAAGGTTTTGAAGACATAGATATGTTTCTAGACAGGGGGTTGAATAGTTTGTTGGAACCCCTCTGTTGTGATCTGAAATGATTATAGATTGTTTTTTTTATTTTAGTTGCTTTCATAGATTTTAAAATATTATTTTGATGTACAGTGGTATCTTGATATGTAGAGTGGTACCTTGGTACTCAACTGCTTTGAAACTCTTTGAATTTGGTACTCAATGCATTTTGATGTGAAAATTTTGTCCTGGTACTCATTATTTGTTTAGTACTCAATGCACGAGCTAGAACTTGTCGGTGTCAGCTGTCTTGTGACTCACTACATTATTCCTTGTGGGAAAAATTTGTTTGGTACTTATCACATCTCCCAGTACCATTAATTATATTTTTATATCTTCCTTGGACATTGCTATGGCAAATGAATAGCCATGTAAATTGAATAAATACATATTTCCATATATGCATACACTTTCAAGAGTATATAATTGATCATAATTTCAGTGTCTGAACACACACACACACACACACACACACACACACACACACTTCTTAGGAGATATTATTAAATCTACTAATCACTGATGGCAAAACATCTAAAAGCAGTAGCAACTTCATACTACCCAAGGCAATTTTCACTACACATAAAAAGTAAGATAAAATGTAATGATTCTGAATTCAAAATTTAGAAAAACTATTACGGTAGTTTGGAATTAGAAACATAATTCTTGCATTTTAATAACCAATTTTAAGTGAATAATATTGAAAGCCTGCCAGACATCTTTCATTTTAATTAAAATCCTGAGTTGATTGGATCAGGCATCCTCCCAACCTCTCTCTCTCTCTTTCTGTCTTTCTCTCTCAACTAACATATTAACTAAGCCCATCACCCTCAAGAACTTATTTTAATTATTTCACTGATGATTTAATTTCTGCTGCCAGAGTAGGGATATTTGTGAGACTGTCTCATTCCAAAACTTCTTAAGTTTGATGATATATGCCTTGATTGGGTTAATATGAAGAAGCTGATCAATCTAGGCATCTAAATGTCTTAAGCTGATGATGAAAAGCAGCAGTAGCACCAATATTATAATCCAGGTTATTTGTCTATATTCCTGCTTTGTCAATGCTTAAACTTTTCTTCACAATTCAGAGACTTATTATGATCTGAAAAACTGGGTATAAGAAGCCACTAAAACATAACAGGTTTGATGCAATGAACATGAATTTGGGCAAACTCCAACAGACAGTGGAGGACAGGGAGGCCTGCCGTGCTATGGTCCATGGGGTCACAAAGAGTCAAACACGGTTTAGTGACTGAACCAGAAATATTGTTTACTTTTACAGGTAAAAGTGTGCTGTCAGCTATTAATTGATTCTTTTTCCCTATGTAGAAAGAAAAGCATAGTTAAACTGACAACACATTATCTTTATAACTCTTAGGAATAATCTTGTATATATTGACATTAAATACCACAATTTGAATTACAAAATGACCCAGCAGCAGAAGGCACTGAGTGTATCAGAACTGTTAGGTAAGTATTCTATAATTACATTTTATAGCTAGCTATTGCTAGTTCAGATAAAGCTGAATAATATGTAATTAACTTTATGGTTCTTATTTTATTTAAATTTGCTTATATTCAACTCTAATATAAAAATAGATGAGAATATAAGGATAAACAAAATATATAAAACCCACAGGCCTATAGTGAATACATTTTTATCATGTTTTGGTCTCATTGACATCAAATATGTTCACAGGACTGAGGTACAGTATCATATCTCAGTGTTAGATAACATGTCAATATGGAGAAAATGGCCAGCTGACATGCATTTTCATTCTGAACTATAAATATAACACAATATATTCTGTGCAGATGAGATCAAGTTGTTAATATATATAGTATTAAATTATATTGACTCCCAAATAAGATTTCTGATTAAATAAGGATATAATTGCACTTAAAAAACACTAGATTGATAAATTTGTGGCTTTCATTGCAGCTGATATTGGTGGTCAACTGGGCTTATTTTGTGGAGCTAGTATGATTACCATAATTGAAATTGTCGAATATGTTTTCACCAACTTCTATTGGATGTGTATTTTTCTTCTACTAAAAGCACCAAAATTGCCTGATTGGAACACTTCAAATCAGAATGAACAAATGCACAAGAGAAGAATACAAGAGTGCTAAGACCTTGCAGAAAACAAATACACACGGCATTTATTTTTAACATCTATCTTTGTTACTAGAGGAAAAGAAGGCCTTAGTATCATTACTCATTTTTTATCAGGATAGTAAAAAGTCCACTTTATGCACCTATCTGGACAGAGCAATAGTTACCTATATTATTACATTATACTTTGAAAATGGTCCAGAAATTTCAGCTGATGTGAAACAGCAGCCAATAAAAATGGTGGTCACTGCAATCCCATTATGGCTGGGCTTTGCAATCTGTTGCCATTATTTAAGTACTGCTTTAATGTTCAAATTGTTCAAGAAGATCTTATTCCATACAGCTGGTAGCAAAATTCCCCAAAAACATTTCTCAATCTGTAGTTACTGTTTGGTACTCTCAATTATTAAAAGTGGTAGCTGCAATGAAGAGACTTTTTCAGTTGTAACCCCCTTTTTCTGAAAAATGCCTGCTACCAAAGGGATTTTCCACAAACTTGCATTATAATCTTTTCAGCAGCATGTGAAAGCTTTGGACATGATTTAATGATTTATGATCTGTCTATGTTCCTAATGTTGCTTTATTGATGTGTTGCATTACTTTTTAGCTTCAAGTGATAACTTATTGCATAGTTATATTGTTTGTTTTTTCCTTATCTTTCTTTACCTTAAGTATTTAATTCATATCACTGCAAAACATAGATCCTTAGATAGTTTTATTGAATAATGATCAGCAGGATGTGGTTAGTGTACAGTTAAGCATGTCATGTCAATCTAAGAAAAGGATCAAGTAAAGTTCGATTAACCCTGATTAAGTGGATCATGTAAATACAACCATTATGTGAATTTGCTTAATAATCTGTGACTGTAAGATTGTAAGACCTCTACCTAACCATAATTTTTTTTGTCAGGAAAATTTAGATTAAATTTGGTTCATTTCCATATATTAATTTATTGATATATTTTTAAACAAGAAAATGTATATTTATATATTGGGTAGAACTTTTCCTGAAATATGCATTTTTTAATTCAGTTATTCTTCTGAAATGAATTTATTTTAATACATTTGTTTTCTAAAGCAATTAATTACTACAAAAGTATGCTCTTTTGTGCTCAGATATCCACATGTGTTTTTATGCAGTTGCACATAATAACAGCTGCCTAAAGAACATCATTAGTGACAAGGTTTTTTATAAACATCATTTAATATATAGATACTCTGATGCACACATTTTCACACATAACAAGAGGAAAATATGTAGCTAAAATGAAGTAAATTTAAGTATCTGTAATTACAGTGTATTGCCAGCAGATGTCCTACTCATCTTTCTCTTTTAATTCCTAGTACCGGTATTTTTTTTAAAAAAAACATGACACAATGTAGGACTGACTTTCATTCATTTGTGGAATCAATGAAATATGGAAATGCATTCCGCTAATTCCACCAGAACAGCTAATAGAGGCAGTTCTTGCTTGGTATCGATATAAACTGATGCTGCTTTTGTACTGAAATATTTTCCAGCTGCTTCACATCGAACTTATATTTTGACCCTTAGGAAAAAAGACCTATTGGAATTCTTAGTTTAAGAAGAAAAAAAGACAACTAAGGATACATGTGATAAGAATTATAAAGTTATAAACACTTATACATAGTGGGGTCAAAATTGCAATTATTTCTTCCAGTACTTGTTGCATAAAAACAAAGTCAGATCAGAACTTATTCATGGGGCGCTGAAGATCTCAAAAGGGATATTTTGCTTCAGAGGCATTAGAAGTGTCTCTTCAAAGTGATTTTGTGAAACAAAATTGTGTCTCCTTTCTTATCAGGAGAGAAGTCAAATTACTTTGACATCGACAATGGTTACACTTTGAGACAGACCGGCCCTGCCTTGACTTTTGATAAGCCATAAATTGAGTGTTAACAGATTTAGGACAAGAAAAGAAATTATACTTTATCTATTGTGGAAAAGTTTTACATGAAAATAGTTCAGTCCCTTGGTCAGTTAATGTAATGCAACCTACAGAAATGTATCCACCACTTTAGTTTAGTAAAGTAAAACAGGGAGTCATGGCAGAAAATTTTTAGAAGTTTACATAGTATAGAAAAATGAAGATACTACTTCTATCCATTCTTGAAAAATATTTTCTGGAAAGGGCTCAATCCTCCCAATTGCAGATATTGATGAGGCAACATCAGTATCTGATGCTTGGCATTCTTCCCAACTCTGAGAATTCCCAAACATCTGGAGAGAAGGCTGATATAAAAAATAGCAGAATTGTTATTTGGAATAAGAATTGTTATATCTATTTTTTTAGAAGGGTCTGCAAACAATGTAGTCAAGTCAGTAATGGTGTGACAACAAAACAGTTTTGGTTTTCTTTTGTTGATAATGACTGACAATTCAGCATTCTCTGAAATTCAGTTGTGTAAACAAACACAATGCAAACAAAATGAATTATATATTGGAACTCATGAATAATTATAGACACAGCATTTGAAGATTCACAGAATCCATTGCGTTACACAATATTCAATGGTGTTTCCTAACTTAGTTTTTAATACAACTCACTCTCGCTCTGTCTTTGTCTTTGTCTTTCTGTGAATATGTATGTTTAAATCAGTATTCACTGCCTAAAGTAATGGACAATGTCAACCTCCTGGAAAAGTCCTTGCATTTTTATTGCCAAGATTTCCGGAGTGATTTGCCATTGCCTTCTTCCTAAGGCTAAGAAAGAATGATTAGTCAAAGGTCACCCAGCTGGCTTTGTGCCTAAAGCCAGACTAGAATTTACAGTCTCCTGAGTTTTAGCCTAACACCTTAATCACTATACCAAATTTTCAAATTCCCATTTATTCAGGTATGATACAGCAAGTGCTTCCCTACCAAAATTCAAACAGACAACCAAAAAAGATGTCCCAGATATCTGAGCATTATGGTGCTCCTTGAGCTTGGTTGTTAGCTTGCAGATGTTTCATTACCTGACCAGGTAATATCATCAGGGCTAGTGAATGTGTGGTTTGCTCCCTGTTTATATTCAGTAGTTTGCCATGCCAATGTTGATGGGGTGTGGTTTGCTCCTTGATAGTTCCTTGATTAATGTTTTCTGTTTCATTTTTTGATCTGTTGTTAATCCCTGCTAATCTGGGTGCAGCCTGTTGGAAACATATGTTCTGGTCTTTTTTTTTCTTATATTTGTATACAATAATATTTATTGTACTAATTTTATAGCATCAATATTTTTATAAATATATATTATAATGTATATATTGTAATATTGTATTGTAATGTATTGTAATAATATTTTTATTGCATTAGTTTTAAATTAGAATTGACTCATGGCTAAAGCGATAACAGCGCATAAAATGTAAAACAAAACAGTCTCTGACAAAACCTACCTAAATGGTTTTCTTTAAAAAGAGTGTGTAGTCCAAATCCAGTCCAAGGTTCCAAGAATAAGGTCAGATAGTCCAGAAGTCAAAATTTCATAGCAGAATCCACACAAATATCATATAACAACCAAATATCAGATGGTTGTTTCCAACAAGGGATTATGGGCTAGGGCTGCCTCTTAAATAAGATTGCAACCAGGGAACATTAATCAAGAGAGGAGCCTATAGAAGACATCTTCTCTACTCTATTCTCTGTTTGCTAGGTGCAGGGCCTTGGAGACCTTATGTCATCACCCTCTGATTTCTCTAGCAGCTGAGGTGGTACTTATGTTTGATCAGCCTCAAGTGATTTGTGACTTTGTGTCTCCTGAAACTGACATTCCACAGGTCCTACTTCTTCACATTCAAAGTCATTATCCAATTCCTGGATCATGACAAAAGAAAACAAAAAAGACCAATATTTTTTTTTTCAGCAGCCTGTATGATCGCTATATATTATATTATATTGTATTGTATTGTATTGTATTGTATTGTATTGTATTGTATTGTATTGTATTGTATTGTATTGTATTATAATACTATATTTCATATCATATCATATCATATATCATATATTTATTACATTATATTTATTATATTATATGAGGGCAATTCGGAAATAAACCTCTGGTTATCAATGATAGACACTCGCAGATACAGAATACATTAGAAAACTACATTACATTATTTTTCGACATAATCGCCATTCAAATTGAGGCACTTGTCATAACATCTTACAAGGTTTGAAATTCCTTCTGCAAAAAAATCTCCCACCTGGGAATGAAGCCACTCTGTAACAGCATTGTGAAGCGCATTGTTATTATTGAAGCGGTGCGACACAAGACATTGTTTCATTTAAAAAACTGATTTATTTTCAATTGATCTAGCAGATGAGCCAACTGCAACACAATCTTCTTCCACTCCTCAGTGCCTACTGAACTACTGTGTATGGCGCCATAGGACAGGTGTCACTATACCCGCCTAGTTCTCGCACATGCTCAAATGGAGGTTTATTTCTGAATTGCCCTTGTATTATTATTTTACAAGCCAGGATTTATTTTCATATTAGTTTAGTTACGTGAAGAGATTCTAGTCTTTTGCAGTCTCCAATATTTTGAATATGTATAATTGTTTCAAGAACAGTGTCTCACATTTTTAAATCAAAATTGATTGCCTAATTTCCATTCATGTAATGTTTTATTCCATCTCAAGTGTTTGTGCCTCAGATCCTTCTTATCTAGAACTGTTTCCAGCCTTTGCATAGGTTTTAAGCCTGGAAGATGGATAATTGTTGGTTGCTGACAGTACAAACATGTCTTCCCTAAGAGGCACCAACTGTCAATATTTTGACCCATTCTAATCATTTGCTCTTTTTGGCATGAATGAAAATGATTTACATTTTGATTCATAGCAATTAATAGAGAATATTAGTCAAACAGTTGACTGCCACCTCCTCCATATGCAGATACAGCTTTTAACATAATAACAGAGTTGGAAGGGACCTTGGAGGTCTTCTTATCCAACCCCCTTCTCAGGCAAGAAAACCTATATCATTTCAGACAAATGGTTGTCCAATCGGTTCTTAAAA